GAGTTTTGTATGTTGAATCATCCTTGCATCCCTGGGGTGAAGCCTACTTGGTCATGGTGGATAATTGTTTTGATGTATTCTTGGATTCTATTTGCCAATATCTTTTTCAGTATTTTTGTATCAATGTTCATGAGGAAGATTGGTCTGTAATTCTCTTTCTTTGTTGCATCTTTGTGTGGTTTGGGTATCAGGGCAAATGTAGCCTCACAAAAAGTGTTTGGTAATGTTCCCTCTGTTTCTATTGTTTAGAACAATTTGAAGAGTATTGGAATTAGCCCTTCTTTGAAATTCTGGTAGAATTCTGTGCTGAAACCATCTGGTCCTGGAATGTGTTTGGCTGGAGACTTTTAATGACTGTTTCTATTTCCTTAGGAGTTATTGGCCCATTTAAATTGTTTATCTGGTCTTGATTTAACTTTGGTATATGGTACCTATTTCCATTTCTTTCAGATTTTCCAATTTTGTGGAGTACAGGTTTTTGAAGTATGACCTGATAATTCTCTGGATTTCCTCATTGTCTGTTGTTATGTCTCCGTTTTCATTTCTGATTTTGTTGATTTGGATGCTCTCTCTCTCTCTCTCACTCTCTCTCTCTGCCTTTTGGTTAATTTGGATAAGGGCTTATCTATCTTTTTGATTTTTTTCAAAGAACCAACTCTTTGTTTTATTTATTGCTTGTATCGTTCTCTTTGTTTCTATGTCATTGGTTTTAGCCCTCAATTTGATTATTTCCTGGCATCGATGCCTTCTGGGTGAGGTTTGCTTCTTTTTTTTCTAGAGCTTCCAGCTGTGCTGTTAAGTCATGAGGGTTCGATTTATCCATCTTCTTTATGTCGGTATTTAGTGCTATGAATTTTCCTCTTAGCCATGCTTTCATAGTGTTCCATAAGTTTGGGTATGAAGTACTTTCATTTTCATTGACTTCTAGGAAATCTTAATTTCTTTCTTTATTTCTTCCTTGACTCATTGGTGATTCATTTGCACACTGTCAAGTTTCCATGAGGCTTTCTGTAAATTTTGTAGTTGTTGAAATCAAACTTTGAGCCATGGTGGTCCAATATGATACAAGAGGCTATTCCAATTTTTTTTTAATTAATTGAGGTTTGCTTTGTGATCAAGCATGTGGTTGATTATAGAGAAGATTCCATGGGGTGCTGAGAAGAAGGTATATTCTTTTGTGATTCAGTGAAATGTTCTGTATTTATCTATTAAGTCCACTTGAGTCATAACTTCTGCTAGGTCCCTTATTTCTCTGTTAATTTTCAGTCTGGCAAATTCACCCAATGGTACGTTGGGATGTTGAAAGCTCCCACTATTAATGTGTGGGGCTTGATGTGCAATTTAACCCTTAGTAATGTTTCTTTTACAGATGTGGTTGTTCTTGTATTTGGGGCATAAATTTCAGAATAAAGACTTCAGCTTGCTTGATTTTCCCTGTGATAAGTATGTAATGTCCTTGCTGATCTCTTTCAATTGATTTTAGTTTGAAGTCTATTTTCCTGGATATTAGAATAGCTACACCAGCTTGCTTCTTAAGTCCATTTAATTGGAAAGTCTTTTCCCAGCCTTTTACTCTGAGGTAGTGTTTGTCTTTAATGTTGAGGTATGTTTCTTGTATGCAGCAGAAGAATGGATCCTGTTTTTGTATCCTTTCTGTCAGCCTGTGTCTTTTTATAGGTAAATTGAGACCACTGATATTAATGTATATTAATAACAGTAATTGTTAATTCCTGGGTTTTTTTGTTGGTAATTGTTGTGTGTTTCTCTTTTTTGGTATTTTTTGGTGTGTGATTATCTATTGGCTGTATTTTCATGGTTGCATCTAACTTCCTTAGGTTGGATTTTTCCTTCTAGTGCTTTCTGTAGGACTGGATATGTGGATAGGTATTGTTTAAATCTGGTTTTATCATGGAATATTTTGTTTGCTCCACCTCTAGTGATTGAGAG